TCTTTGCTTGTCATTATTATTAAGTAAAACAATTACCCTAACAGTATTAACTCACCATTCATCATACTCACTATCTGATCAAAATTATGTACATTCATCACTTCAATAAAATTTCATCTGTGCATGATGCAGGATACATTTTAATCAACAATCAACACTTACTGTACCGTTAAGTCTCACCTGTGTATTTATTACCAAATTAAATTTCTACTATTTACATAAAGCCCATCCAACAATTTATGACAGTTCCTTCCTTTTTTAAAACTTTGCCACTTTCATTCTTTTAATATACACTTTTAAAAAAGCATTGGTTTTTATCCAACATTTACAACTATACAGTAGTTGCTTTAAAGCATTAAAAAATTGTGTCTCCAGGTCTTTTGCCAATACAATAACACGCTTTGCATTATGTGACGGTCAATGTTGATGCAATAGCCCTTCACCCCTCCAATAATAGCATCGTCTTCCGAAAAGTTACTTGCCGTTCTAACACCTGAAAAATAAAAGTGCATCCCTGTGAAAATTTATCATTTACAGTATATCATAGTTTTTGATGAAATATGGGTGGTGGAAAATTATCATAATATATTAATTTTTATATATAGTTAATCAGTAAAGAATATAATAAAAATGAAAATGCATAAATATTAAATTTAGTATTGACACACAAATTATTATAACCTAGGCTTAGCTACTAGCAGGGGCGGATCCAGAGTTGTCCAAAAAAGGGGGGGGGCCAAATTTGGGCCGATCGACACAACAATGTCCTAGGGGGTCCGGGGGCATGCCCCCGATTTTTGTGTTCTAGACGCCCGAAAATAACATTTGAGGCGTTGTGGGCTATCATTTTTTTCTTTTTCTTTCTTTTTTCCCTCCCAAAAGGGGGACCGGGCGGCCGCCCCCCCCCCCCAAATCCGCCCCTGACTAGGCTGCATAATTACAGGCCCTAGTCTATCAGCAAATAGTGTTGGCCTATGGTAGGCTCTACACTAGGGCCTACTAACTTTTATTATTAATGAATTAGAGAATGTTAATATTGCATAGAGCCTTAATTGTGTTGTGGTAC